AAACGATGCCTCCCGTGAAATATTTCCAAATCCCCACGAGCAGATTCTTATCATAAACAACCAAAATCTCCTCATCAGTCTTCCATCCAAGGAAGGACCCAGAGAACTGCACTAGTCTTGTTGGCAATCGGGAAACTCAGTAATATATATATTTTCCTCCTCGGAAACCATAGGAAGAGAACAAGAAAAAGGCCCAGATGTTGCTGGCATCACCATCCTGAAACGTCTTGACCATATTCCTCCAAGAGAAAAGGGACATTTATTAGGCAGCTGTGCTTAAAAATACCGGTAACTCTTTTATGGCAGTAGTTCCGTATTACTATTCAAAAAATTTGGCATGAGATTTTGGTTATGAGCTCAATAGTTTCCATATTTTGCCCAGTTGAGCCGATATGGCATTGATTTTATTACTGGTTGGCAGAATATGTGTTCATACTTTTTGTGTGTGTGTAGAGGGGGAATCCGATGTATCCTCAATTTTTGAATGGGTCAGAAAAATCTGAGACGCTGTTTTGAACCAAATAGACATATTTTTAAAAGACGCTATTATGGGTGTGTATGATGTTTGTTCAAAGATAGCCTTTCTTTATTATGTTTTGGAGCAATATTTCCAAGATAAATTACGACCTTGTATCTTTTTTAAAAACGGTTGTTTAATTTACTTATATTTCTACTATTTTTGTAACTGTTCTTATGCAACAACATGAAACACACAGACACACCTGTCCTGATCGAGATGTGGTGTGTGTGTGTGTGTGTGTGTGTGTGTGTGTGTGTAGTGCAGCATTCTCGGCACGTAGTGTGAATTGTGATGTCTATTTTCTAATGAAAGTAAACTAAATGTTGTGTATGAGAACACGCAAGAAGCTGCTGCCTCAATTGTCCTGGAGAAAACGTCTTTGGATCTGGAAGTCTTGATCCAGAAAACAATGTGTGACCCAACTTTTCAGAGAAATCAAGTCCTCCCTTAAAGAAGGCACATATTGTGGTGAGACCTGGACAACTGACACTCTGTGTTGTGGGTGGGTACGTTTGGACAGTCACAACACCCGATTGGTAGGTCCCTTGAAGCTGGGTGCAATCTGGCCAATGGGATGCAGTCCAAACTGTTCGAGGGACCTATTTATGCCCATGCACGTGACCCAGAACTTTCTCTTTTGGCGTGTGCACCTCTCCCTACTTTTAGGGCTTTGCGCTTGACCTTGCTATGCTGTTGTGTGTCGTCTGTCGTTGGACAGGGGCATGACAGGAATTTCCCCCACTTGGCTGATTGACTGTTGCCATTTGGGTTTTGCTTGCCGTGTAGCAGATCATCACAACTTGTAATGTTGCAGATAGGCTCTGGTTCAGGTGATAGGGATGGGAGAACGCTCTCGCCATCCCTATTTGAAGGGTATTCCGTTAAAGGAATCCAGGGACTCAATGGTTTGGTCAACCCCTGAGAGGGGGTTGTGCCCGTGCCTGAGTCCAGGGGGACATTTGGGTGGCGGAGATAGCCCGTTCCCGGCTTTCCACTTATCCAGGTGTTCACCCTTGGCTGACCTATGCTGGGTTAGTGCTCTGGGTTAGAACTCTGGGTTAGCGCTACCTGCATGGCAGGGAGCAAGTCAAACCAGAGCCTATGCAACCAGTCACTTTCTGTAATCAATAAAGTTGTGGACTAAATTCTGCCAAAAACCAAAACCAAAAAATTATTTAGGGGGAATGTTTCTTGGTCTGAACACGCAATTGATTTTTGCCATTGTAAAGAACTTGTGTCATAGCCTTGTGAATAACAGGCAGCTACACTGTGTGAGCATTTGATTAGAGGTCTGTGATGGGTCCTCTACTTATCATGCACCCAAACCAAGGGGAATACACTGTTGTCCAAATTAACTCATTTACCTATTGTATCCTTATGAGTCTGGGTTTCTTTATATGACTACTTGTGTTAGGCCTGGTTCCCTGAAGACCTGGGTGCTCTGGTTCTCCTCACCCAGCCAAGAGTATCTCATTTAAAAACAATTAATCCAGAACCTTTTGATTTATTAATAAAATAAAACACAAGCTGTTTGATCAGCAATCTGGTGCAACCCATTTAAATCACGCATTTTTTGGACAGTGAGTAAGAATTACACCTAGCCCGATGCTTGCGTTGGGTGCAATATATTGTCAAATATTTCGGGTCAAATATTTCCTACCCACTTTAGCAATGATTGGCTGCATGATGAGTGCTCTACTGGGCCAGGTCTGGCGCACAAACAAATTGCCAGCTGGCCTGCAAATCTATGCCAGAATTAGTTTATTTGTCTTCTTCTCTGGCGATCACTCGTAGTCGAGTAAGATTGTCTTCCATAAACATGGTTTTTAAAGTGAATCCGTAAGTGACTGTGGAGGCCAATTCTGGATCCACACGTCCTTCCTCACTGGTTTCCAGTTGGGAGTTGATCATGGTGAGGGTTTGCCAGGTATGCCTTCCTCTTAGCGCATTTCTCCCTTTCATCTTGAATTCAAGCGTCTTCAAAACTCATGACACCTTTGGTAAAGGCTGTTCTCCAACTGGAGCGCTCGCAGGCCAGTGTTTCCCAGTGGTCGGTGTTTATACTAGTTAATGCTGATATAGCAAAGACAATATAGAAAATTAGCTTTAGACATACAGTGGTACCTCGGGTTAAGAATTTAATTCGTTCTGGAGGTCCGTTCTTAACCTGAAACTGTTCTTAACCTGAGACACCACTTTAGCTAATGGGGCCTCCCGCTGCCGCCGCACCGCCACCACACGATTTCTGTTCTTATCCTGAAGCAAAGTTCTTAACCCAAGGTACTATTTCTTGGTTAGCGGAGTCTGTAACCTGAAGCATCTGTAACCTGAAGCATCTGTAACCCGAGGTACCACTGTACTAGAAGGTGGATTTTTTTCTATAATTGTTCAGTTATTCAATATTTTAGCCAATGCCATCTTTGGTTCATTCCTGAACACAGGACTATAAACGGAGTCTCAAAATCAGTTCATGATATGAGGGTGTATATGTTTAGTGGGGTGGGGCAGGGTAAGGAAGGGAGTCAGTTGTTCAAGAGAAAGTCAAAATTTCATTAGGCTAGCATAAACCTTTTGTGAGAGGCCAAGCAACACTTTGGGCATCGGCAAAGACAGGCTGAATAAAACTCTCCACAAAATGTAATTACCTTTCTTCTCAGCATCAATAGAAAGAGATATAAAATATTAAAGTCAAAGGTAGATTGCTTAGTAGAGAAGAGAGCAACATTTTCTATTTCTCTAGAGAAATCTTGTGAACTATTTTGTTCAAAGCGACACTAATTACCACCATGTGATTAATCACAGACTAAGGAACGTCTGAAAGATTGCACTAATAATTTAGAGAGTAGAATGAAATTTACTCCCCATATCTTTGCCAAAGAAGTATACAAACTACCTGAGATTTGCTTTTATAAATATAACCTTCATATGGCCAACAAAGTATTAAAAATTAGAACATGAATATGCTCCTCTTGCTTTTTTCTTTTTCTTTTTAATGAAAAGCAGCCAAAGGAGGATGTCACTTCAAGCAACTGTATGGTATGGGAAGGAGCTGCTTTGTTTGTTCACATTTGTCATTGTGCTTTCTCCCTGTTGGGAAAAGCTGCAGAGATCCAATTGCTCTTCTCTTTCTCCTGTAGGCAGAAAAGTAGCTGGGTGTGGTCATATTTGACCACAGAACTGACAGGAGCAAAAAAGACCAAGCAACCTTTCTGCCCAAAGTTATTTCTCCCAGACTGGCAACCTCCTGCTTCTGCTTTTCATTAAAAACTAAACCAACAAAAGATTGTTCACACATCTCCTATGTAACATCTAATTTGGCCCTTAGGCAGCAACAGAAAATAATTATCTCTCTGTTCATTTAGGTACATGGTATTTGCAGAAAATCATAATTACAAGTTTAAAATGAATAGAGGTTTGTGTGTGTGTGTGTGTTTGGTCAACATATAAGTAACTATTCAGCATTTCTGGTAAAAACAGGCAGTATTTCAGACAAAAAAATGATAAACAAGTAAAATTAGATACCATGAAAATTTAATTACAGAATATGATATGAGAGGAAATGAGTGACATTTCACAGATGAGAGAGAAAATTAGAAATTTTAAAATGCTAATTTTAATAAAGTCAATTAACACACAAAGCAATGTGTTATACGTTGAAAGACTTTTTTAAAAGGCAGTCATGAGTTTTTTAAGAAGAAAAGGATAGCATTCTGCATTTTAGATCCAGTTTGTTGAATAATTGCTTCTTTTGCTTTTGTAAGATACATTTCATTCTCTTGATACTTAATTTACAATGGGGAAAAAATGCTTTAGTTCTTGGTTGTGTTTTGTTTCTTGGAAATATCCCCAAACTGTCAGATAATGCATTTTATATAGTATAAACCTCAATGGAATTATTTTCCTTTTGAGATGGAAATAGTTTAGTCAGTAGAGCATGAGACTCTTAATCTCAGGGTCCTGAGTCCCAGCCCCACGTTGAGCAAAAGATTCCTGAATTGCAGGGGGTTGAACTTACTGACCCTCATGGTCCCTTCCAACTCTACTATTCTATGGGGAAAAAAAATTATCTTTTTTGGGGGCAATTAAAGTATCACAAGTATTTTCTGGGAAATCATTGGTGCAAACCCTGGTTCATCTATGGTCATCTCCAGACTGAACATGTGAGTGTTGGAAGTTTGTAGGGCAGTAGATTGTACACTCCAGGCTCTTTACCAATGCCCTTGCGTGTGGGTCTCCTGTCTGAGTACAAAGGTTTCACTGAACACACTTTAAGTCTGCCTGTGATCAGGGTTCCTGATTGTGTATAGGCCTCTAAGCCTGCATTCAAACCATATATCTAAAGCACTGTGGCATGCCTTTGAAAAGTCATGGCTTCCATGGCCACATTCAAACCATACATTTAAAGCAGTATCATACCACTTTAAATAATGGCGGTTCCCCCCAAAGAATTCTGGAAGCTGCTGTTTGTTAAGGGTTGTTAGGAGACCTGTGTTCCCCTCATGGAGCTACAGTTCCCAGAGTTTGATTATTTCTTAAACCACTCTTGGAACTGTGGCTCTGTGAGGGGAATAGGAGTCTCCTAACAACTTTCAGCACCCTTAACAAACTGCAGTTCCCAGGATTCTTTGGGGGGAACCGCCATTATTTAAAGTGGTATGATACTGCTTTAAATGTATGGTTTGAATGTGGCCTAAGTTTGCTGACCCATGTCCATGTGGCAGAAAGGTAAACAACGTTTCCGTTGCACCAGAAGTGGTTTAGTCATGCTGGCCACATGACCCAGAAAGCTGTCTGTGGACAAACGCCGGTTCCCTCGGCCTGAAAGCAAGATGAATGCCGCACCCCATAGTTAAAATTTGACTGGTCCAGGGGTCCTTTTACCTTTTATCTCACCACTCTGGCACCAAGACAAGTTGATGATTGTTGACTGCGCAGGTAGTACTGAGTGAGCACATTGCTCCAACAAAGGTCACAGGTGAGGCTTTATAAGTCTTGTTCTCCCCCTCACCATTCCCAAACTCCAGCCCTTGACCTAATGCATCTCTTGAAGAGCCAACCCACCCCCTGTCACTTTGTCACCCTTCTGTGGTCTTGTGCCTGCTGTGTTGTTGGACATTTGTGGTACCTCAGGAACACTTGGTTTCTCTGACGAGTCAGGCTCCAGGGATAGCATCTGTTCAAGCTCCAGCCCCCTGGGTTCATGCTCCATGGGCTCTGTTGACTAAAAAAGCATAGAATCATAGTGTTGAGCTATGTCTACCCACATCAACATCATGAACCGTGCTAGATTCCCCAGTTAGTGGTACAGGAGCCCCAGACTCTGTAGGCTTCTCCTCCTCCTCTCAAGGCCATGACAAAAAGTAGATTAAGTAGCATGCATGTAGAACTTGCTTTTTGCTCAACACCTGAAGGTCTGAGAGGAGCCTGCGCATGCAAGGACACTGAATTTGCATGGATGCCACACCCCTTTACACACTTCTAAGCCCTTCACATTCAGACAATTCCCACAACTTTAGTAGAAACACCAGGACATTCTGTCTAAAGCAGTGCCCAAATTATGCCCCTCTCCCTTTTGCAGCAGTATTCAGACACCAGTTGCTTTTTTTTTTTTTCCAATCACGCCACTGCTGCCTGAGGAAAAGGGTAGCTGCACGGGGCAAGTCTAAGAGTAGTAGTAGAAGAAGAAGAGTTTGGATTTGATATCCCGCTTTATCACTACCCTAAGGAGTCTCAAAGCGGCTAACATTCTCCTTTCCCTTCCTCCCCCACAACAAACACTCTGTGAGGTGAGTGAGGCTGAGAGACTTCAGAGAAGTCTGACTAGCCCAAGGTCACCCATCAGCTGCATGTGGAGGAGCGGGGAAGCGAACCCGGTTCACCAGATTACGAGTCCACCACTCTTAACCACTACACCACACTACACAAAGATCTATTCAGGTGTTATGAAAGCAAGCCACATTGTAAGTGCATGTTGAGTATGCTTACAAGCTTCCTGAGTTTGAGGAGCCTTATCATGGGAAGGTTGGGAGAAGAGGGACCAGGGGCAGTGTGTCTTCACATATCCAATGCGTTTCCTTTTAATAATGGCTGAGTAGGGCTCAAGGTGTCAATCGTTTCTGTGAAAAGAAAATACACCAGCTTGCCTTTGAGGGAAGAACGCTGGTAACAGATTCTCATTTGTGGTGTCTGGCACGGACAGACACAGACACACACACACACACACACACAGACAGACAAACACACACACACACATCCTGTAGGCCTTCAATTGCTGACAGGGATGATGGAGTGGAAGCACTGAAATTGCTGAAGAGCTTGAAATTGGAGCTGATGCTATGCCAAGAGAACAGTAACTACAAAGCAGGGCTCTGATTAGTCAAGAGGAAAGAGTCTTGGAAAGCAGCCTTTCGAAAGAGGTTGAATACACATGTCTTACCTGAGCCCTAGCTGTTGGCAGAGACTGGAAGTGATATATTCATTATTATGAAACCATAGAGAGTCTATGTTAAAAGATGCTCCATTTTAAAGCTGCTTGATTATACTCTGTGAACAACACATCCTTGCTATTAATTCAACACCTGGGCTGGATCTAGACGTGTCAAAAATGTGAATCAGTTAAACGCATTGTAAATGTCATACAGGGAATTCCCATTGGCGAAATATGGGACTCCACAGCACATTCTGGTGTCACAGTGTTATAACACATATCAAGCGCCTTATCTTTACGAATGTAACTGAGTCCCTGGACTTGGTCCACAAATATTGGTCGATGGTCATCGATTAAAGAAGATGAATTCATGTGTCACATTTTTGGGGGTGCATATGTGTAAAATGACAGCCTATTTCTACTTTTCATTGATACAGAAGTAGATCTACAATGTAGCCTTTCTTTTACATTGTCCCCTACAAAGTAGTAAACAGCGGTTACATTTAGACCATACACATGAAGCACCATCTGGGCTTTTTTCAACCAGAACTTGCCGGAACTCAGTTCCGGCACCTCTTTTTCTAGAAAACTTGTACCGGGTATTAGAAATCTATAGACTCTACCATACAATATACAGTGGTACCTCGGGTTACAGACGCTTCAGGTTACAGACGCTTCAGGTTACAGACTCCGGTAACCCTGAAGTAGTACCTCGGGTTAAGAACTTTGCTTCAGGATGAGAACAGAAATCGCACTGCGGCAGCACAGCGGCAGCGGAAGGCCCCATTAGCTAAAGTGGTACCTCAGGTTAAGAACAGTTTCAGGTTAAGAACGGACCTCCAGAACGAATTAAATTCTTAACCCGAGATACCACTGTATGATAACTAGTTGTTTCAATGTCGCAAATCATTCTCCCACTGTGAAAAAAAATGTAAATTGTAAGCTCCTTGGAGACGATAATTTATTTATTTTTTGTATCTGAAACTCTATAAAACACCATATATGCTGATTACACTATATACATAATAAACAGTAGTTTTAAGAACAAGCAAACTGATGTTAAGGGTATCCCTTTATATGTCAGTACTGGGACCAACAAACAAATCTGTAACAAAGACCGAATTCATCTCCATATCTCTGTCTCTCTCTCTCTCTCTCTCTCTCTCACACACACACACACACACACACACACACTTCGGAAAAAATGTTAGTTAGAATATATTATTTCTTCCACACCTTATGCTCATTCTATGATTTATCTTCATGAGCTCAAGTTGGCTTCATCATTGATGAGTAGTGAGGGATATTTACACTGTTTTCTTTATCTTTCCAGCACCCTAATCGCTCTTGAATGCATAATTGAGCACAGCAGGTCTGCTCTGCTCTTCCACATGCTCGCCCATTGTTTTCTGGTGCTCCTGGCAATTTCCCTTAGATCTTGCAATATCCCTGATCTCTCCGAGTCACTTTATTAAGCTCCCTTGGTAGCTTCCTTCATAGTGGGGCCTTGACAGCGCTCATCAATTCTGGATACTTCAATTAATTGCACCACCATCTTTCAGGACTCCTGGCTGCTTCAGTTAGCTCCTTATACTGCTGGTGTTTCAGATCCCCCAGCAAAAGAAGCAAGCTGTGAGGATGTTAACAGTTCAGTGAGTTAAATGCATTGACAATCTTCAGATAGTCTAAGGCAAAATCAAGAAGATGAAATATGCTTGAAATGCACTTGTTCCATTTTCTAACAAATTATTTTGTCTAGTTCTTCTGGGCATCAGGATGATGACTTCAGCAGGTCCAATAAACAAGCATACCCTCCAACATGGTGTGTGGGATAAGGATAATGAATGATCTACCAGAAAAAATAGAGGAAACGATGTTCTTCATTTGCTCTGGACTGTAACTTCTCGATTCCCTGACCAGCATGGGCAATGGTCAGGGGTGGTGGGATTTGTAGCCCAATAAAATCTGGAGGATACCATATTGACTACCTGTGAACTAGGGACGGTTTCTAGAAAATAAATCGGTGTAATTGTGTTTTGCTGCTGTGCTTCTGGTTATGGAATTGGGAGTGTGATGTGATTTGGAGCCTCCCCATTTCCAAATGAGCTTCATGCTGCCTTCCCCACAATTTTTTCCAAGGTTTGAAACATTAAATCAGTCTCCATTAAACCTTCGACACTTTGGTCACACCTTGGGCATACAGATCTATGGGGCATGCAGTTCCTACCAACAATTCTACTCATCAGGAACATTTGAAACTATATCTTCTAATTAGAGCTATACTTAACTCTCCTGGTCACTGCCAACACCTGAGTTTCCTCATTCAGCACCGAATCCAGCCCTCCTAAGGTGCACACCACACACACTTTCAGGGGAAATGCCAACCCATGCACACCACCTGCAAGCCAACTTCCAGTGCTACAAAACAGTTGCCTGCCTCCAGTATCATATTTCTACTCTCCGGTCAGCTCACTTGGAAATCAGTTTTGGTAGGTTTTACCTGGATCTCATTCTCCCTTCTTGCCAGAAAGACTAGTCAATGGAGATCTCACAATGGAGGAGGCGATAGATCCTCAGATGCCTCCTTGCTGTGTTGCACTGGTGAGTTTTCCAAAATTATATTTTTCAAAGCAAAACAAAACTGAGGTTGACATGGACGGCATCATCACAGAGCTTTACCATGACATTTAGATGAATGCAGAAGAAGGAAGCCTACAATAGCTCTGTGAAGATTGATGACTTGTCTTTAGCTGCACTGGTGCCGAGAATGACTTTTAGACTGACTGATTTCACAGCACCTGGAGGGAGGCTCAGAAAAGAGAAGCTGACTGTAAACAAAGCATGGGTAGATCCTTTCGGAGAAAGTCTGAGAAATTTGTTTCTTTCTCTCTGTCACATTATTATAGTCCCCTCAATGCATCTGTAATAATAATAAGCCCAGATAATGATCCAAAAATTCTGAAGGAAGAACACTCAATGATAGATGGATGAGAAGAGATTGACATTCTTGTCTGGACCTTTCCCTGTCCACCTCCCTTTGATTGATTCACATCCCTTCCTCTGCTGGTACCGATAGCCACAGACCACTTTCGTACTTGCAGGAGGAAACAGCTGTTCTTTCCAGAAAGCAATCAGTATTCTCCAGTTTCATC